CTCACTCTTCTCTCACCATCGGTTGTTTTCTCCTTCCTTCACTGGTTGCCCTTGTGTCTTTCTGTCATTCCAAAATACTGAATTACATGACACTGATCTGCAGTTGAAAACTGTGAGGATTTTCTTTGTATTTTTGTTGTCAGTTCTTCTCCTTGTGATTTGTTCTCCCTTCTTTCCTTCCTTTCTTTTGAGAAAGTGAAAAGCAATTTGGTGCATTAGCGTAACTAGGATGACATTATATATTTAATAACATGTTGCCCAAATGCAGGTCATCTAATAAACACACTCATGGATTTACATGGACAGAACACAACAAATAGAGGAGTTAATGTGTGTGTAGTTGTATTTTATTGACTGGTGGTCAACTGACTATATCTAATGTTGGATCTATATTACTATGCTGCCGCATGTGTTTATTGTAAATGTACAGTTACATTGCCCCAAAAAAAGAAATAGTGGCTGATTAATTTTTTTCAGACTCTAACCCTGCTATGAATCACAAAACAAGTTAAAAAAATGTTTTCAGTTTGTAATTCTTAACATACAGACACAAGACGGTTGAGCAGTTGCAGGGATTTACCTTTTGTCCTCATGCATCATAAACCAAAAAGCATAAAGTTGTGTAGCAGACTGGCAAAGATCTAAAGTGAGAGCTGAAAATCCCCCCCCCCCCCCAGAGACACAGCCTGGGCGCCCTTTTGGTTTGGCTTTTGGTATGGCTGAGGGTCAGATGTAGAGGGGATTTGACTTTTGGGAATATTAGACATCTGTGCTTTACTAGGCACACTCAGTCAATCCTGGGAAAAAAAGGAAACATCTCCAAGGATTTCAGGTTTTTTCTTGGATGTTCAAGACAAGAAGGAAAGCTGGGAAATCTGCAAGTTAAACCTCTTAATCCAACATTCAAGATGAATCAACTGTGATGCTACATGCTAATCTTGTGTGTGTGTTGGGGGGTGCGGGCAGCTCCACAGCGACAACAGCTGATTAAAGGAAAAGTCCACCTTAAAGTGCAGCCACTTGCAATGTAAAATATATCATTTGGCCCATTCTTTTATTTATTTTGCATGTGTACTTTTACATCTTGGCTTGGAAAGTTTAGATGCTTGATGTGTTGGAGCTACTAAAGATTTGGCTTCTGCAGCTGTTTTGCACCGAGGTTCATCAATTATACATGGAAAAGGTGATTTTCCATGGAGCAGGAGCAGAGAGACCAGGACAGGATCTTTTGACAGCATGGATAGACTGCAATGTTGTGATTAAGCAAGTGAGACTGATTTACTGTAACTTCACTTCATCTTATTACTTATGATTCAGTTTATTTTTGCAATTATTTTTTAAATGAGCAACAAATTAATTCACATTATATTTAGTAAAACTTATAATATATAGCAATATTTGAGGAAACGTGAGACACTACTGCTTTAAGGATAAGTATGTCATGCTGAGGCGCAGTTTGTGAAATGAGAAAAATGTTGCATATTCAGTTTTTTACGTGGAGCTGAAGCAAAGACGCCTCTGCTGTTGTTAAAAGAAACTGTTCTATTTTCATAACCTAAAAACCACAAAGAGCAGGCTCAGGAAACGACAGGGACTGATCAGTGACATTGTACATTCATGAAACATCACAATGCATCGCTGCACAAACTGAGTGCAACCATCAACACACCAGGCTGAAGTTGCGTAGAGCGTGCACTGATCTTACTGTAGTCTATTTGGCCCGCACATGGTGTTACTGTAAGGCACAGCTCAAAGCTGTCTTGCTAAGTTGTATTTACAGTAGCCTTTGAGTTTTTCCAGTAACTGGTAACCCACAGATCACCTCACTCTCAGCTCCCGCACTGTAAAATCAGCTAGCCAGCTCTTCATCATCACCTTTTACATCTCAGCACCAACACCAAACACACAAATGCAGCACTGTTTGTCTTGTCTATCTTTACATGCAGGTGAGCACACACTGCTGTGACAAGGAAATCAATGCAAAGGCCAACTGTATTGTACTGTGTTCCACGACTAAACGTTGATCAATAAATCTGTAAATGAAAATGGATGTGTCAGTAATATCAGCCAAAGTTAAGTACCTATGATTAATAGACTAACTGAAGCTGCCTTAATGGAGTTTTTATATTGTGGTTTAGTGTTGCTGGAATGGTTTTACATATTATCTCATTGGAACTTTCACTGGGAACTGAGCATTCTAACCCAGGCAGGCTGACTGCCATTCTCTACACCTTGAGCCATACACTAATGAGACAGTATGTGAGAGAGAGAGACAGAGAAAAAGTAATAGTGAAGCGGACGGTGAAGGAGCTGTGAAGTTGATAAACTGACAACCAATAGAGTATTTTAGCTGGTAAACTGCGCTTGGAAGCATATATGGTAGCCAGAGTGTGTGTGTGTGTGTGTGTCGAGCTGTCAGGCAGCAGTGGAACAGACAAACCCCCAAAGCACATCACCTTCAAAAAGAAAGGCTACCCAGAGTGTGTGTGTGTGTGTGTGTGTGTGTGTGTGTGTGTAGCTACTGTATCAGACACAGTTACACCACGGGATCGTTCCTTAAGAGTTCAGAAGAGACGAGGTGAGTAGAATACAGAGCAGGAGAGGAAGTAAAGGAAGGAGAGAAAAGGAATGATTAAAAAAAAAAGCAGAGAAGGTAAGAAGGAAAGGAGGTATTCACAAGAAGTGAGTGGCATGGAAGGAGGAACAGAGAAAACAAAGAGCATGGTGTCAAAGATTAAAGACCTCGAGCTTAGTTGCAAGTCTGTAGCTTTATTCATTGTCTAACAGTAGCAAGTTTTCCGCAAGCCCTGTAAATGTGAACATTCTGGATCACCACATCCGGAAGTAGATCCAGATCAGACTTTGGTGTGTGGTAGATCATATGTTGATGCTACTGTGGAATTTCTGTCCAGGCATTATGTATGAAGTTAGAAGCCAAAGTATTGAAGCTGGCCTCTCATAATGGTCAAGAATCCTTAAAAAAAAAAAGGGTCCTGGATCCAGATGTCAGTCTGGATCAGCATCAAAATCTAATGGATTGTTCTGCTGGCCACACCCTACCTCACTAAAAAAAAATCAACAGAATCCATTCATTACTTTTGGAGCTAAGCTGTGAACAAATGAATGCCAGTAAGAAAGGGATAAGAGAAAGGATGGAGGAAGGAAGAGATGAGGAGAAGGTGGGGGGGCAAAAAAGCATTGAGGAGGGATGAAATTAGGAAGTGAGGCATGACAAGTAGAAAGATTGAGAGAAAACTGGCAAAACTGAAGGAGAGAGCTGCTGGCAGGACGCTAGAGCAATTTATTCATCATTTCCCTGAGTCTGTAGGTTACACAGTCACACTAATCGCATCAATACAGGCTGTAATCAGACAGAACGAGACATATACAGTACACAGAAGAATAAAAATCTGTTCTCTCAACTTAATGTTTTATCCTGCTACTTAATTGAATTTATGCAATGAGCTTACAGTCTGTGTGCGCTCATTCATTTTTATTTTAAGTTCCTCCGACACTTGACAAATGACATCAGGGAATTGTAGAAAATGTTGCTTAGCCATAGCGCGCACACACACACACACAACTGACAGGTGTGAAGCTGTCCTTTTACATGACAGTCATGTAACTGTCTTTTAGGTCTGTGGTTGTACGTCTATGTAAATACATGTACTGTAAAGTAGGAGCATGTGAAACACGTTAGGATCTCTTTTCCCCCAGTGCAAAGCCAGCACAGCTTGAAATGACAGTCATGTAACTGTCTTTTAGGTCTGAGAGAAATGCAGTTTTTATGCCGTTTCCTTTGGGTGCAAGTCTTTTTTTTATGCCTTTGCACTGGCAACAGCTGTGGCCGAAAGCATTCGTCCGTCCATCCCGTTCATACATCATTGACATCAATCAAAGTCAGGTTTCCACTGTGCTTTTAAAGGCGAGGAACTGGTTTAATTAGCCATAACTAAAGCTCAGTCCGACTCCACCTGCTCACTATGAATCCCTTCCACTAATAACATATCCCGCCTCTCACGTTGTACCTGACTGCGCCAACACCAATATTCGCCAAAACTGCACAAAGTTGTTCAACATTTGCGCCTTCGCCTGGAGTTAGACTTGCATTCACTTCTGCGCTCCATTGCAGGAAAAAAGGGGTGTATGCCAACTTCACATACAGTACATAATGAGTGCAATACGAGTATGCAATCACATACATAATGAGTGCAATACGAGTATGCATGCAGAGCGGCTGTTTTTGGCTGCTGCTGTCACAATCACTGTATTGTACAAATAAACGTTTACCTACAGTGAACACTCACTAAATATCTGACATATTGAAATTAATCTGGTGCACTGTATTCTTGAGGAGCTACTTGATCCAAAAACTGGATCAGGTCCTGGGTCCAAAATATTGTGTTTGATGCAACAGATGATATATCATGCATTTTAACTACTTCTGATTGGCGTCTTTCTCTATTTTAGTGAATTTTGGACCTAGTGAGCATTTATTGTTCTTGTGGATTCTGTGGAGTGTTTTACACACATAACTGAGGAAAGAAAGAAAAAGCTAAAAATAGGAGTCGGTGTAGACAACTGGACTAATTAATATAGCAGCTTATCTGCTGTGATATGCGTGTCTCAAAAACACGACCGAGTCCACTCAAATACAGGACTGTGTACATATAGATTGGCTTCATTCTGGCCGATACTGATCCTGTGAAATATGCCCGGATCGGCGCCTATCCCAACACTGGATTGGATATCTCTACTTAGAAACTTTTTAGGATAAGTCACCTTTTTTCTATTCAGGGTTGCCTATATGGTAAATGGCAGGGGTGAGATCACTTGGAGCTCTGTTTAACTAATTCAATTCTTGCTTTCTTTGCATTGCCAAGGGAAAACGTCTGTGCTTTAAGCTGTTGTCTAAACACATTTGGCCATCATGTGATATGATTTATTGATGACTTTTGCCTCCAACATAACTCATGCACCTATCCCTATCCACTTCTCACCTCCTCACTCTCACCTGTCCCTCTTTATTCCACATATCATCGGTCTTCTTCGCTTCCTCCTGTGACAGTCCCACAGTGGAAGACTGAAAGGAGATGAAACAGGAAGGAAATTGTCAAATAACTGCAGTCACAGAGGTGCATATGAATGAGAATGGAAAAACAGCATTATCCCCGGCACATAAGAAAGGAAACTGACAAGGAGCCATATGGGATGTAATTCGCACTTTACCTCACACTTGCATATAATTTCAAAAAACGCTGCAGGGAGCTGTAGCAACACAGTGTGATGGGAGAGTATCGCCTCAGACATTAGAAAACAGTGATTCTGGGCTTTCCCCCCTATTTTTAGGAGTTTAACAAGAAAAAACATTGATGTCACAGCATTTTCCTCCAACAGTTTTCACAACATTACAAGCATTTTTCTAGTAGACAACCCAAAGTAAACGCATTACTGTAAATGATGCAAAAGGATCAAATAAGTCAAGAAGACTGGAACAGACTGAACTACTGTGTCAGTCAGGCTAATATATCAATGTGTCCTGTTTCAGTAAAGCTGAAGTATATTGAGGTAGCTTGTTCAGATAAGGCTGAAATATCAATCTGTGTTACTGTAGGCTGAAATATACTTAAAAAGGAATATATCAAAGTTCTCTTTTTACATTGAAGTTGCAATAAACTAAAAATATCCAGTTTAATCTGCAAATTTATTGAAGTGTTTTGTTCTAAAAAGCCAAGGACATTTTTTTCAGCATTTTGATTAACTATATTGTATTGAAGTATATATTTAAATATTTTCTTTCAGTAAGGCTGCATTGTGTTAAAGTATTTAGTTCCAAACATGCTGGAATACAAGGAAATAACCTTTACAGCCTGAACGTTCACTGGTAATGAATGTTTTTCTGTTTTACAGTGAAACAGTGACAGCCAGACAGACCAGGCTAATTTAAGACATGAAGCTTTAACGTTGAACTCAAGGAAGAAAATAAAACTTAAAGCTTTGTACTGAAACATATCAACTGTGTAAATATTATTTGCCTTATGATACCATATGGAATTCTGGGTTTTAAAAATCACATTTTGTTCCTTTTTGCATTTGACTTTTTTTGTCAGTTCTGATTTGACATTCACTTCAATCCTCATGTGAATCCTACTGTACGTTTCTCACTGAACTGCATTCACTGTTGCATTATAAGGATAAAAATGCAGTGCACGGGCTTAAACTAGAATTTAAATGAGCCGATCTTGTTTGCTCAGCCATTCCAGATAATTGAGTTATTCAACAGCTGAAGTGTGTAAGAGATGAGATAATACAAATTGAGTACATTAACAAGTTAAACCATTGACTGAGGAAACAAGGCAAAGCTTCATATTCTGATTGTCTTTAAAGTGAATTATGATTGAATGGTGACTCAATTGCCTGCAGGAGTGAGTGTGTTTTTTTTTTGCCTCCAAGTCCAACTTTTGTTTCCTTTTTGGCAGATGGTTTGTTGTAATTGCTTATATGATTGCCCCATAGCTTGTATTGGCCAGCTAAACCCTCAATTTATGTAATGAAGTGTTTTTGAATCAGCAAATGTTTAACCCAAGCCACAATACTTTCCTGAATCCTAACCTTGTAATTTTTGTGCCTAAACACATCCATGTCAAAACATCAGTATTTGACACCCTGGGATTGAGAACACGCTGAACGTACCTATATGTATGACTAGGTTTTAATGCAGCGGTTGACAGCACACCTATACAGTACACATCATGAGCAGTTCTCTATTGGTTGTTTCATGCTGCTACTGTAGGTTGAATATCAAATAATAAAATGTGGATTATTTATATCTACTGTAATAGAAATTATAACTGTCCCGCTGACCTTACAATACAAGTCAAACATCAAAACACACAAACTACTGCCTCTGTAGTCTTTCTGAATAAAACCATGTTTTTACTTTTCATAAAATGTTATTTGGCACTTTTGTAGTCTGCTCTTTTCCTTCTCTGTATGCCTGTTTTAATTTCCCTAGTCACACTGCAGTATGTTTACTATTCTGTCACACAGAAACTTTTGTAAGCCATTCAAGGTTTATAAAGCAATTCAAGGTGTCTGCAACAAATTACTATGTACTGTAAGCACCTGGCTCCACATTCCTGCAGAGAAAGGTCTCTCCAGCTTTAAGAACCTTTCATTTGGACTGTAGCATTTGTGAATATTCATCTGTAACTTTTCAGACTCATGAAAGTATACGCTGCATTGACGCAAAAGTGTGAACAAGTCTGAAAATATCTCAGGAGGACATGGGGAGACTTTTCTGAAAGAAGATGACACAAAGAAGAACTACGAACTCAGTCAAGTCACATTTTTACTTCATTTTTTCACCTTTCCATCCACAACAAAAACTTTAGAATATTGTCTAGTAATATTATAGATGGTTAACTTTAGCTTTTTCCAATAGTATGTCACTTTTATGTGCTAGAAAATAAGAAAATTGTATTTTGGGTGATTTCTACAATGGTTACCACTGTATACAGTACACTCAAATCAAAGAGTTTCATATCTGCATTAAGATTAAAGATGCCATTTCCTCAGAGTGAAAGAAAAACGCATAAAACATCTGTTTTGTTGTCCTTTCTTCTCATTCTGCAATTGGCTAAATACAGTAGATCTGACCTTAATGTACAACCATGCATCAATGTTACTGTTGACCTAGGTATTCCCCCCCTGACCACCGGGGGAAGCATTGAGCAAACTGCTGCATGGCACGCCAAAATGAGAAGAAGATGACAAACTACCAGGCTGTGGCTGCCTTCTATTGTAATGCACACAAAATAAAATAAAAACAAAAGCTCTACTAGAAAAGTCTCAGTCAACTGACAGGTCTGATGTCAGTAACTCAACTATTAGGGGGCAGCCCTATGTAGCTGTATGGGACAGTTCTTTGTTTTTTTAAATTTTACGTATGAAGTGTACATCTATGAGGGATAATGAGTGTGATCCTCCCAAAATGGCATGTTTACCCCAAATTCAACATGGTGCCAAACCACCTTCACATTCTCTATAGGGAAGCCTCCAAAAGCTTACACTAATTCTTACTGCTAGGCCACTCACTGTAAACCACATCACAAACGTGAAAGGGTTAACATAACGTCCCTATATCATGTCTTCAGCTCTATAAATCCATAATTATTTCTCTTCCCTTCCATAATTCCATCTTTCTTACACCTATTTCATCCATCTTCATCATATTAAAACCAGGCAAATCCTATCACAGTGCAAAATCCCCTTCTGGGTACTATAAAACCTAAGTAAATCTTAAAGTTTTACAGTTTCAACAGCAGTAAAGCCAGTCTAGCACTGCTGCTTGTTGTTCCCACAGCACATCTTCACTTAAGTAATAGTTTTCACTACAGGTAGTTTCCATTTCCTAGAAAAACCCCATTATTCCCTAATGTTTACTGATCAATATTTAAAGACCATGGATATCTACATAAGGTCCCATAAGGTGCTACTCCCCCCCCTCACTTGAGACTAACTGGAGAGTTGAATGTTTGAGTTTAATTAAAAGTAAACATTTTTCAAGAGGCTGATCTCTCATTCTGAAACAAAACCCTTCCTTTTTGTTGTTGTTTTTTTTTTTAACTACAGGTAATAGATTTCTTCTGCTGATTCACAAAAGCAAGATACTTTGAACAAATCCTTCAAATATCGAAGGGAAATGCAAAAGGAACAGGTGGAGAGATGTTCTGAGAACACTACAATTTTCTGTTTCAAAGTGTCTTTCAAACGCCAGGGGAAGAATTAGTTACTGAGATTCATGCTGAGAAACTTGGTGTTTGCTCATCTACAGAATGATCCCAGTCAGACTTTGAGCCAGTCAAAGCTGGGAAATCCCGATTTTACACACACAATAATCCTCTCACCATTATGAAAAAGATGTGATCAGACCTAAGCAGCCTACATTTATCTCTGTTTTCCATTTCTGAAGATAAAAGCAGCAGCTGGAGAGACTGAATCACAATTGATGGGGTTTGTCTACCGCCGCCCTGCCTCCGGAGGTTAAAGCTCCCAGTGGTGATCAGCGAGTTGCCCTCCGTGACAGGTCGTCGGTCTACAGAGAGGGGATGGAGGCAGTGGAGGTGGTGGTCGTTGTTGTTGTTCCACATGACTGATTGTCACTTTAATCGTGTGTGTCTGTTCCAGGCCAGGAGAGACTGAGGCTATTCAGCAAAATGAAATCCTCTTCCACTGAATGAACGGCTGCACACTGAAGGCACGTGCATCTCTTACAAGAACACAGGACAGTTGGAGAAGGGAAACACAGCGCTCATTCAAATGTTAAAGGAAATACACACCGCATGTTATTCACACTTATTAGAGGCCTTCACAGGCTCAAAATGTTGGACCTGGCCTGCAAAGGACCTCTGGGACACCTACCTGAACGCAACACGGAAAACCTAATTAGGAGCACGGCAGAGCCAATCCTCAGAGGACCCAAGAATAACTACACAAAATCTTAAAGACTGTCAACTCAAACATTCCCTATAGAGTTAAAACACCAGCACCCACATCACTGTGATGTGCCATCAATAAACAGGTTGATCGATTTAAAAAGAGCAGCAATAATATTGATAATACTCTGTCACAAATGTTTACATGCTTCAGAAATTTACAGAAATGACTGAAAGTCCTTCACCTCCCGCACCAACAACAAAACATTCTGTAGGAAACTACAGTAGGTGATTAAAATCCAAAGTGTAACTGTCATTTGATTAACTGGCTTTGATTTCTTCAAATGGTTTCTGAAAGCTTTGTCCATTCCATATTGAAAAGGTGCGAATGGAAGTCAGGACCAGAAAAATATCCTCATCAAATTGGCAATCTCACACAAAAAGACTATGACATGCAAACCCACAAGCTGTGCACACTTTGATTATGGAGCATCGTACACAATCACACACATCCCCATAAAATCACCACACAATCACGTTTCATTTCATTCTCTTAATTCCCAGGCTCTCTTCCTGCTGGATTCCAGCACTATGGCCTCATCTTCTACATGTGTTGTTCTTCCCTGTGCCGCCATTTGGAGCTTTTGTTTTCATTTAAGGGGGGAAAGAAAAAGCAGATAGCCACAATATGTCAATCCTGCTGATCTACTCTAATTAATTCTATAAATCAAATGAAAGGTGGGATGGACAGATGTGGCATTTACAAAGTAGCATCCACAGACAAAATGAAGAATGTCTGTGTGTGAAGGACAGAGAGAGCACAGTTCTGTATTCATGTCTGACCACGAGTGTGTGTGTCTGCAGCTGTCTGTCTGCGGTTAACTGGTGTTTAATGTGTCATCCAACAGCCCCAGTTCCTCAGGCCAGGTCTGAATACAAACATCCATTACAAATCAACCTACATTTGTAAGCATTACCCAGTTGGAGGACACCGTTCAGCATGACTGTTCCAGCAACATAAGCATGACAACTGAGGGAATGACGGTGATAAAAATGACATCATATGCCCATAACTGTCAATGATAGACACCCTCTTAGAGAGAACAGTTGTAAGCATGAGAGCAAGAATCAAATATGCTAAGCAGAACCCTACCTCTACCTAAAAAGCAAATATATTCAGTGAAATAGTCTGTTTCATGTTGAGAATACCAATCACTAAGCATCAGAGGAGCATGTTTCTTGTCAAAATGGAAACATACACCTGGAATGGGGGAGTGAAAGACTTTGAGACAGGAGGGAATCAAACCCTCACTCAACAGAAACTGACAGCATGAAGCAAGACTGGGGAAAGATGGCAATGCAGAGATGGAGAGAGAGAGAGAGAGACAGAATCACAAGCCATGCCTATTTCCATCTCGATGCGTCTCTGATATTTCTTTCCATTTTCATGCCAATAAAGCATGCTGATTTGGACGTTTACTTGAACTGAGACTGCGGAAAATGGAGACACAAAAATGGACTGAATTGAACTGAGAGCCAGACAAAAAGAAGGAGCAACCATGCTATGATAAATGACAATCCTAAGTCTTACCATGCATTCAAATGAGGCTTTATCTCTCTAATAGCCTGAATACAGATGCATTTTCCATTTAAATGTTTCTAAACGGTGCCTTATTTGCCTCGAGTCATGTTGAATAACAATTTGTTTTGGACACTAAATGTTCTGCAATGGCTCCAAGCCGACACATGTCAAAGTTTGACATCTCATTAGTGGGGGGCAATCAGCCTTGGATGCTAAAAATATTTGCACTCAAGGCACAACCAGGCGCTTTGGATAAACGCCTCCACCAAATGTTGCGCATGAAATGGCACTTGTGGCTCCATCTCTGGAGTGAAACTGAAAGAATCAACGTTTTGCCTCACAGCTGTTGTTGAAAGGAGGAGAAAGGGGGGTGGGGGGGTCAGGTCCCAAAATGTCCCAAGTGCTCTAATCCTCCCTAGAGACAGGTGGATTAGCGCGACTTTCATTGAATAATACACACACACATATACTCACAGGCGCGCGCGCGCGCACACACACACAGCGAGATGATTTAATTCCCAGTTTGGCGCAGGTATTTGCCTTCAGCAGCATCGCAGGCATGGACACGTGAACTGCCACACCCTCTCGAATGAAACCCAGCAACACTTAGTCACAGACCTGAACGCGCACTGAATAATATAACGTTACTCCATCTTAAATAATCTATGTTAGAGTTAGGTCCTGCGCACACAAAAGGCTTTTCCCGCAAATGACTGAGAATTCTTCCTGATTGTGGAGTGATTTTGCTTCATGATGCGACACTTCCACAACCTGGGCAGGGTGTTTATCACTTGTGTCATGCCAAGAAACAGAAACACTAGCATTTTAAAACTTAAAAGTAGCCCAAATCACTTAACATGGACGTTTTGCGGCGCCATAGACGATGCGATGCGTAAAACACACTTCTGTCCATCTCCACAACAACTCAGCTACTTCACCCATCAGTAAATCTATAAGGTCGCACTCAAGCTTCGTCAGTTAGGCACATTCTGGATAATTTTTCACTCGTATGTCTGAGAGATGGTGTTGCGCACTTGCGCCTATTTGTACAGTGCGTCGCAACCTCGGTGTCGGTCTATGTACTACTCTCTAACCTAGTTATGTGCTCAATTTAATCTAATCCAAATGTGTATATACTTCGGCATTTGTTGTAGCAACATCGTCACCGACTTTCATCTCACGTTTCTCCGCATAACTCCAAGAACAGCTCTGACCTTCATCCGCCGACCGTCCGCGTCAAAGACGCAAGGGCGCACACAATTATACTCAGCTTTGTCGAGGCAGTGCGCGGTTTGTGTTTTTTTATGAGACAAACATATTCACTCACCTTTGAAGGCATCCGATTGTTCCTCCATTGACGTTGCAGTTTGTGATCTCCCTGCTTTTATAGCTCCATCCTCCTCCTTATCATTCAGCGCGGGCTACAGTATGTCCATGTCCTCTCTTCAGGTTGCCAAATGAGTTTCTGCTTCAGCTTTTTCTTCTGAACGGAGGCAGGAAAAACCCCGAGCAGGGTTGGTGTGGATCTAGTCCGCTTCCCGTTACCGATTTCTACCAGATTATCTCGGACACAGCGGCAGAGCACCAGGGTTGACGCACCGGACACGTTCTGCGGTTCATTTTGGTCCGGTGCGCACCGAGATACGTCCTGCACCAACAGAGAAGAAAAATGACAATAAATCATTTAAGTTCCAGGAAAACATCAAAACAGCCAGTTAATTTATTAAGTTAGTATGATGTTGAAAGCTCCGTGTCATTTAAGGAAAGTTTAAACAGAAGAGCAAAGCATGGAGAAGCGGCGATAAAGGTCTCCTGACTGAGTGGAGCTGAGAGACGGAAGGAGGCATGGACAGACGGAGAGGAGGAGGGGGGACTGACATGTTAAGCAGACCAGGTGTTGACTCATTTGGCCGTATACTGTGACGCCTAATTCTGAAATTCAAATAAGCTCTTGAAAAATCTGAATTGTAAAGCCCTGCTCCAGCATGTAAATAAATGCCAAATACACGGTAGCCAATCGGGATTCTTCTTGTTATACATTTATTTATGCTGGTGGAATATGGTGTCACCTGCAGCAGCAGTTTTGGTGGTTATCAGATTCAAAGCAGCTGTAGTCCACATAAACATAAAGTGGGCCGTTATTTTCCGTTCTCTAAATTTGAGCATTTGACTCAAAATGTGTTCATTTCACAGCATTTCAGAGGCAGCCATATAGAATGGAGAGCCAGCTGTTCACCTCGGAAGACATCGTTTTACTCCTTTATCTTCTTTACATAAATTAAATTATCTCTCACCTATGGTCATGAACTTTGGGTCATGACCGAAAGGGCAAGATCCCGGATACAGGCAGGCGAAATGAGCTTTCTCCGCAGGGCGGCTGGGCGCACCCTCAGAGATAGGGTGAGGAGCTCGGTCACCCGGGAGGAGCTCAGAGTAGAACCGCTGCTCCTCCACATCGAGAGGAGCCAGCTGAGGTGGCTCGGGCATCTCTTTCGGATGCCTCCTGTGCGCCTTCCTAGGGAGGTGTTCCGGGCATGTCCCACCGGGAGGAGGCCCCGGGGAAGACCCAGGACACGCTGGAGGGACTATGTCTCTCGGCTGGCCTGGGAACGCCTCAGCATTCCCCCGGAGGAGCTGGAGGAAGTGTCTGGAGAGAGGGAAGTCTGGGCATCTTTGCTTAGACTGCTGCCCCCACGACCCGGTCCCGGATAAGCGGAAGAAAATGGATGGATGGATGGATGGACATAAATTAAGGGACTGCTAGTTAGTGCACGAAGTCTGATTGTAATAAAAACCTGCAGACTGCATGAAGGGATTACAACAGTGCCTGCGTAAAATAAGATAAAACAAAAAACAAAAACAAAATGACCACAAACAGATGCCACTAAATGCAAAACAAGAAAAGCACACAAAACTACAACAAGCTTCATAACAGTTTGTGTCCCTTCCATTCAGGGTGTCTTGCTCCTGTGCAGGAGGGATGGGAGACCTTTTACATGACTGTGCCCCTGTCAGTCTATGATGACCTGCCTGCTCTCAATGGCAAATGGTTCCCCACCCAATGTATTTATTGCTGATAGACATTAGATCCTAACTTTACCATTAACCTACACTTCATTGCAATTTTAATCCTCAGGTCTGTCTCCCATTTATGTATTTATGCCTTTATGTGCTTAGTACATTACAGTACTGTGTCATGATTTCTGGTCACTTCCTGTCACTGATCTTTATTTTGACACACTTCCGCCCTTGTTATGGTTCTTTGTCCTCTGTTCCAACTTTGCCTTGATCACCCTTCCACTGATTACACTCATTTTTCCCCATTCTGTAATCAAGAGCTGTTCACTAATTGCCAGATCGTTATTTGAGATACATCCACATAAAGTGAGGTCTTTTTGCTATAGCTTTCCATGTATTGTTCAGTTACAAGAGGATTTAGATTATCTAGTGTTTTGAACTTTGCCTAGTCCTCCACGTCTCTGCGTACTCTATATTTTGCATTTCGTCTAGTAAGCCTCTTGCTATTTAGAGTACATTCCATGGTCAATATCTTGTTTATGCTGGCCCAGTCTGTAAATGTTCCCATTTGGTTTTCTTCTCTAAGCCTCAGTAGAGGTCTGTTTTCTTTCAGCTGTTTCCCGCTGGCTCTGTATCCTCATTTACAGTACTTCAAAACTGTGGCAGCCAGGCTAAACTGTAGTGCTGTTCTCACATAATGTTTGTGATCAGCCAGAATAATTGAAAACACCTGTGAGACTGCACCTTTATCCCAGCACTTCACAAATTCCCTTTCCAGAAATTGTCCTCAAGGTGTAAAATGACAGTAGCACAAGAGCACACACAAACAAGCATAAGCACATTTAAAAAACAAATGGCAATAAAGTATAAACAGGAATTAGCCTCTCATAACTCAATTATCCTTTAGCAATAATGGTAAGAAAGGATTTGTTTTCTTAGCTCTCACTGTTCAACCATCCATCACAAAGGATCAAACCCTGTATCTTAAACCCTCTGTCACACAGCACTGGCTGTTTATCCTGTTACCACAAACACACAGGCCTATAATGACACTTAATTATTACTTCGGAGGCATTGGATTTGTCTTAAAATTGGATGCAGACCAATACCTTTGCATCAGGTCTCGTAGCTTTTTATTTTTTTCAGAAAGAGACATGCTTTTAGTTTTATTATCTTTATATCTGGCAGAAGCCTGTTGTGCAATGTTAAAATTCAGGAGTTACTCCAATTGTATTACATGTCTCTCACATAAGGTACTGCAATGAATTATGCAGAATTTACAACACACCTACCTTTTGTTTATCCCATAACCATGTCCAAAACGTCAGTCTCTTCTGGGAAAGAATAATAACTCAAGCAGCATGAGGGCAATTTAATTTTCTTTTTTTCCTGTTCCAAGTCAAGCACATGCTGTATATTACATCACACAGTTTCCTCTGGGATAAATTCCCTATGTCTCTCAAACACTCCACTCATACAGGGCAAATTTAACGCTGTTCAGAACCTACTTAAACAAAATGAAATGGCCTAAAGCTGTGGTTTTAGATCCTAGTGGGTCAAAGAGGCACTCGCGTCTCTCCTGCCAGCCGTGTTAATTGTAGTTAACTGTATTCACCTGAGCTGTAAATAAGTTGCTGATTAAAAGCATCTAGGCTCTGACACCTGAGGACTAAGACGGCACTACTATATGTTCACATTACCTGCTGAAGTCACTCAAACCCGTTTGTTCCCTCTCCAGGAGACTCAGATCTGATCTTTTCATGGATGTGTGAACAAATCAAATAAAAGACAATAAAAAGACAAAGCGTATCACTTCTATTTCTTTAGTTTTAATTTGTAATCAGTGGAAAATATGTCTGTATCACACTTAAGGGAAGAAAATATGCATGAATTAGGGATTTTCTTCTGTCTTTAACAAGACGAGAGACAAGGGGTCTGACGGAGGAGAAGTAAAGGATGCTTTGAAGTCAGAGCAATTCAGAAAATGTGACTGCAGTGCTAAGCAATGCCCCTAAGGCCATGTTCAGACTGACTGGAGCTCTGCATGATAAAACACAGCTCTTATATTCATTTCATTGGGCCCAGCCTGTTGTCTCAGTGGGGCTGCAAAATGATGCAGGGTCATTCAGTAAAAAGACTCAACATGATGCCATCTGTGGAGTCATGGCCAAAGAGCTGTTCAGTATTTTTAGGTTTTAAATGCATTAATCTGTTCCTCCAACTGGACTTTCTGGACTGTATGTCATTTTTTTCATGGGTACCTTAAACAGCTCATCTCAAACAATGCATCCTTCTGCACTGTTTTAACAGGACTGCTTTTGGTCTAAATACCTGCTAACTCCAAGTTTTATTGATGAACAGTGATGGTGTGAGGCTGGGTCTGTGCAGCTATAGCCAACAAATTCAAATGGCTTGTCCAAGGACAAGTTTGTTAATTGGCAAATGTCCTGGAATTCTTTTGTACTTGTAAATGACCATGGCATCCATCAAAGGTATTGATGGATAGCTAGCTTGTGTAGGTAGCTACAGTCAAGAATGGGTCTTGGAAAGCCACCAAACACTGATAGCTGGGTATGAGATTGCTTTTTTTTCTTTGTAGCACAAGGACTCAGTTTCTTAGTGTCCTCTCTTTATATTTCCCTTATCTCTGGGCTTCAGACTAACACTGCTTAGCCATAAAATCTCTATTTCTGTGGCTTTTCCCATTAAGGTGACATAACTACAACATACATAACCTTCAGTCTATTAACTGCCCCTAGATAAATAAAGGTGTATTCATAATGTTGCATGCAGAGTAGAGGCTTTAACTTTCAATAGGTGAAGGCAAAATTGAAAGAAATATTCATAGTGCTTTATGCAAGTAGAAATACCAACAGGTACATCTCAGCTGCAAGACACAACAACAAACAGTCAAACACTGGGCAGGTTGATGTGGTCAGTGACTGAATAAGATTGCAAAGCGGCCAAAATGAGTTTCCTTCATAGGGTGGCCAGACTTACCCTTAGAGATAGGGTGTGGAGCTCAGACATCTGGAAGGGACTCGGAGTAGAGCCACTCCTTCACACTGAAAGGAGCCGGTTGAGGTGGTTTGGGCATCTTATCAGGATGCCTCAAGGGCGCCTCCCTTTGGAGGTCTTTGGAGGCATGTCCAACTGGTAGGACTGCAGACAGACCCAGAACACGCTGGAGAGATTATATCTGTCATCTGGCCTGGGGATGCTTCAGAATCTCGCCAGAGGTGCTGGAACACGTTGCCGGGGAGAGGGATGTTTGGACCACCTTGCTAAACCTGCAGTACTGAGTGCTTAGTCTCGGGAAGACTGAAGTAAAGAGGTACAAGGTACACTGAGAATCAGTCTGCCACAGCTATCCTAAAAGTACCAGGCATCCACTTACATGACTACACAAAATAGAAACATGTAATTGTTGCTTTTAATGTACATTTGATGTTTTAATCTAAATGTAGTCTGTTTTATCTATGTATGCAATGTAATGTTTTATCTATGTGATGCAAATCACATCCAGTTTTAAACATCTGTGACCGTCATGCTTAAATGCAGTTCAACAGTCAGTTCACAGCCTTCACAGAAATACACAGCTCTGTGTGTTTCTTTTTACTTCATGTTTTATGAGGCGAGTGGGCAGAAGGTAGAACCCTCCTCCATGACACCTTATTAAGAGCTTATCTACAGGTGCAGGAGAGGGCAGAGGGGTAGAGTACACAAGAAGGAAGAGAGAGACACAGAAGGAGGTACAATGGTGTGAAAAAGTGTTTGCCCCCTTACTGATTTCTTATCTTTTTGCATGTTTGTCACACTGTAATGTTTCAGATCGTCAAACAAATTTATATATTAGTCAAAGATAACACAAGTAAACACATCATGCAGTTTTTAAATGAAGGTTTTTATTATTAAGGGAAAACAAAATCCAAAACTATAGAGCCCTGTGTGAACAAGTGTTTGCCCCCTAAACCTAATAACTGGTTGGGCCACCCTTAGCAGCAACAACTGCAATCAAGCGTTTTCGATAACTTGCCATGAGTCTTCCACAGCGCTGTGGAGGAATTTTGGCCCACTCATCTTGGCAGAATGGTTGTAAGTCAGCCTGTAATTGTTGCTTTTAATGTACATTTGATGTTTTAATCTAAATGTAGTCTGTTTTATCTATGTATGCAATGTAATGTTTTATCTATGTGATGCAAATCACATCCAGTTTTAAACATCTGTGACCGTCATGCTTAAATGCAGTTCAACAGTCAGTTCACAGCCTTCACAGAAATACACAGCTCTGTGTGTTTCTTTTTACTTCATGTTTTATGAGGCGAGTGGGCAGAAGGTAGAACCCTCCTCCATGACACCTTATTAAGAGCTTATCTACAGGTGCAGGAGAGGGCAGAGGGGTAGAGTACACAAGAAGGAAGAGAGAGACACAGAAGGAGGTATGTCTGAAGGTCTGGTCTGAGTCATATTGAAGGTTGTCGAGTTCAAAAACAAAGCATGCTTGTTAATACATTAGTCCACCTACTGGGATAACACTGGGTGGTCTTTTTCAGAGCCCGGTGCAAGTGAGTCATTATCATCATGTCCGGTCTTTAACTTTGCATTTTACAAGTCAGTGTATGACCTTATTTATAATTATTACTGTAGACACTTCTTATTTCTTTTACTTTTAATTGATTGAATTATTATATTTTTCTATGTAGTGTCCCTACGTACTGTATGTCTGCATCTCTGTACCTAATCCGGCAGCATTCAAGCAGCTCAGGTGACCTTCAGATCTGTCTTCTCTCTGTGTCAGTGCACTATAGTATTTTTTTTTGCCATGCCAATGCTTTGTTTTTGTTTTCTTCCACTGCTTTAATCAAGAACCCTGGCTGAGTCTTTGGTTTTTGTAAGAGAGAAAAGCAATATCTGCTCAATCACCCTTGCAGCCACTCTCTTCGCATCCTTTAATAATGGTTTCACATTCACAATGAAAGCTAGTGGATAGCCTTGCTACCTGTTCATGACACCTGTAATAAGCCTTTATTTCCATGCATCCAGTTGGTTTTGTTTGTCTTAATATGCGGAGTGTTTTGTTTGATAAAGCAGAAGACACCTGATTTTATTATAGTGATGAAAGCCTCAAGGTTACAGTCATTATAGCAAATTCTGGGTTCATCTGTGCTATTTAAAGATACAATCAATTCTTTTGGAGGAAGGTTTTACTATGCGAATTGTGGATCCTTATGTGGCCTTTTTAAACTCGATCCAATCTATTCAATTTGCCACAAGTGGACTCCAATCAAGTTCTAGGCATGTGAGGGGTAATTAAAACAAACTGGATGCACTTCACCGCAATTTAGAGTGCCACAGCGAAGGCTCCGAATACGTCTGTAATGAAAGATTGCAGTTTTTCAGTTATAACATATTTGCAGTAATTTCTGAAAATATCTTCACTAGGTCATTATGTATTAAGGAGTATACAGTAACATTAACAGTAACATTACTTTTTTTGTAGGGTAAGGAATATCTATAAAAATAAGCTATAACATAATTATTAATCCTAGTCTAGCAGCCCTCCTTCACTTTGACATTTGAGGGGTGGTGTATTTGCCGTTGGTTGGTGTTCAGTGGGCAAACTGGTCTAGAATATTGTTGAGGTGCAGTGTAGGTGATATCCTCTACACTTACAGTACATTCAGGTTACCTTTTTTATATAGTGCACTCCAATGTCCTCTGTATCTACATGTGTTAAACACAAAAGAAGATGTGGATGATTTGGAGCTGATGAAAAGCACTGACAGAGCTTCTGTTATAAGTGAGTAATATAACACATAAGTTTAGCTGAGCAATTAGTAAAGTGATTCTTTATCCTTTATCCAGATCCCCATTAGCTTCACAAAGTGATCGCTTGTCCTCGGGGACAATAAAACAGCGAATTAGATAAACAGCTGTTACAGCAGGTTGATCAATAAGCCTAAAACAAACTCATGCACATGTAACTAAACATTAATTAGTGAAAGAGTAGTTGACTACAGTTTTTAAGTGACTTAAAAATCAGAACAGGTACAAACATTAACATTTTTTGTAACCATTTCCAACTTCGACACCCACATATCATGTAACACAGTACCACAACTATTAGCCTGTCTGGTCTGCGAGGCTTGAAAACAGAAGGGGACAAGTGGAGGAAGAAGTGTGAAATGGTAAAAGGCTTCTTGGACATGGTGCTTGCTCCCTGCTTTTAAAGAGGCATTTGGGATTTTACACACACATTTTGAGTTGTCATTTCATGTGTTTGGATCAGATTTAACACCACTGCCCTTTTCAACATGGAACAAATCTAGTCTACGCGGGGGCGAAGAGCTGTGGCTCTCTGCTGAGGTCCACTAATAAAGCCAGTTACAAGAACTTGGGCTTAATGCCTCCAATGCGCTGGTGAACCATTTCTATAAGGACACTCAAGTGTAGATAAGTGTGGAATTAAGTTTTCCAGTGTAGCTGCAACAAAAAAACCACAGCGTCATGTTTACATTCATCAGTGGACTCACAAAGGTCCACCAATGTGGCATTTAAGTCACAAAGTCCTGCTGTCTCCTGGCCCCTTGTCGCTTGACACAGTTAAGTTAATGGTACTGTAATATGAAGAAAGATTGTATTTAAAAAAAATATTTTTTTAAAATTTGCCTCTTATTTGTCTGCTTATTTACTGTGGTGCTGGCTGTCCTTACTGATGTTACAAAAGGGTCAATGAAGAGCAGCCAGCTCTTGTTTGTGACATTTTGAAAAGTGAACTTTCAAAACAGTTTCTCATTATGCGCCCTGCTTGTATTTGTTTCTATGTGTGCCTCAGCTCAGACAGTTCATAACCTTCCCCATTAAACGTCTGCAGTACCCCGAGTCACTCGTCTCTGTCCAGCCGGTAAAACAAGTGGTAAAGAGATCAGCACGGTGTGTGTGAGTGGCTGCCGAGTTACCGAATCTGCACAGGAACTCTAAGATATGTCTCTGGTCAGAGTGGACTGTGACTTTGGTAAGGAAAGAAAACCCAACAACACTTTTTTTTCCCCATCCTCAGAATAGCCACACATCAACAACTGGACCATGTTTAGTGATTTATTTCTCCTCAGTTCGAAATTAATCTAATTTATTTTGGAGAAACAGATGGTATTTCATTGCCGCAGAAACTGATATATCCATTGATTATATCAGTCTGTCACTCCTACAGTCAGTCTCTTATTGCTGATATATTGGCCTGATCCAGGGATTTTATTAAAAATTAGATTGTGTTATCTGCCTAAAACACGATGAATATGGCTCATATTTAATTTAATCTAATCATCAATTTAGTCTTAGGAAGTTTATCTAGTGTCAGGGTGTTTTCACACCTACAGTTTGGTTCATTTCATCTGTACCAGCGAAAATATACAGTGATCATCCACAACATTATGACCACCTGCCTAATACTGTGTATAGAGTCAGTGTAGAGGTTGGCTGGTACTCATGTCACTCAGAAGCTCACTGACTGAACCAGTTTTGTAGTATTCAAGTGGCCAACACTGTAGAAAACCAAGTTGTTACTGGAAATCAAGTCCCTGAAGCAGGTGCCTCTTCAGCACACTTCCACATGCTTAAACACACATCTACTGTATACCCACAGCCCAGTGATTCAACCATTAAGCTATAACGGGAGTTAAATTGGCTAGTGCGCTACTTTGCTTTGCTATTCTTGAAAGCAAAATTGGACAAACAACTTCTGCAAAATTGAAGCTGGGCATCACTGCTGCATAATGAGCAGCTGTTCGTGAGTGTTTTTTTTTTTAAACACTCCTCCTGTATTCCAAAATCAACCATCTAAAATGATCTATTTATTCAATCATAAAAGCACTGTCAGTTAAAAACTGCTGTTTAATCCTTTTGTTAAAGTTTAATCAAACCCCGCTGAAATTTGTGCCATAGCTTGGAGAGATGGATGATTTTCTATCAAATCATCCATCTCTCGCTCCATCCATCCGTCAAAGAACAGTGAAGGGGACTGTTGGTTTGTCCACGTGTCACTGCAGTTTCCTCTGTATTCGTGCGGTTAAGTTCAAGGACACACTGTTTACATATACTCCCAAAAACTGGAGACGAAAGCGGACTGGCTGTCATGCTGCTTATATTTCTTGTAAACAACAGGTCTGATTAGCAAGGCTAGAAGCCTTTCTTCATGTTTGCCTGATAATAATTACTACAGTCCGAGAAAGAAAAAAAAAGACTGAAATTGGGTTACCAACAATGTAAAAATATGTGGATTTCCAGGAAATATACCGTCTGAGGTCAGAAACAGCCTGCGTGCAGCCTGTTATCCAGCTCCGATCTGCTGCCCTGTGTTCATTCGTGGAAAATAAGATGAGATTTCCCCTCCTGGAAACCAACAGGGTCCAATTCTCAAGAAATCTGGCATTTTATAGGCAACACGGGAAACAACACACTCCCATGCACACACACACACACACACACACACAAAGTTTAAGTACACAAACACACTTAAACAAAAGCAGACTACTCAGTGGCAGCCCACCTCCTTAAGGAGGTTTTTATTTGCTCAGACAGTGAGAAGGCAGAGAGTACTGTAGAACTTTCTGATGAGGTTTTACAGTATCCCTAACAAGCAGAAAGAGGAATTAATCCTAACTATGGACATTTTCTTCTCTTCCTTTATTCCCCTCTTTCTTGTTTTTCCCTCTGTTCTTTCTTCCTTCTAACATTTCTTGAACAGTCACTCGAAAAAAAAAACCACAATCTGTAGAAGATTCCTCCCATTTTTAATCTTACACAGTGTTTCCTGTGGATCAAGAGGCCTGGCATGGAGGCTGTGTCCCCCAGGTGGGGTGGGGGGATTGTTGCTGTACATCTTCATTTGTATATTTTCACTTTGTATTCAACCCAAGGCGTGAATATTGGAGCATTAGGCCAATCTGGGTCCCATACAGACTTTCTCTCTCTCTCCTCTGTCTAGAAATCTACTAGACAAAAGTGGCTTTCATGTGGGGCTATCTCGAAGAAATCAGCATGTTTTTTAATGTATAAATTCATTCAATGATTTTGTTGTGTTTACCCGGCAGGCTACAGGGAGCGGGGCAAAGTGAAACCAAAAAGCTCAGAGCCATATCAGGAGTCTGAACAGTCATAACAGATATCAGTAACAAGTTTGACTTAAACAGCTGTCTGTGAAGATTACACTTCACTAAACGCACCAGAGCAAGCAGACCAGAAGTCCAGGGATCCAGGGGTGATGTTGCTCATGCGTGTGTGTCTGAGACACATCTGATAGAATGGAGTTCTATCTGTTGTGTGACAAACTAATCTAGAAACAGACTCAGGATGAACTGGTCTGCACCTGTGAATGTTACTCGCCACGTTGTTTGCTAACATGCCAGCCATAATAATTTGTTTCCATATCTGACTAATACAATTTTAGCCAAATTAAAACTGTAATATGAATGTAAATTTGGCTTTTGGTTGCATACTGTAACATGTCCTGCGTGCTTTCTCTCATAAATCATTAACTGTGATACTCATTTACGCCTTTCTGCACACAATCCGATTGGGGAAATATGATGTGCGTTCATATTTCGCATTCTGATAACATTTACAGGAGTCACAAAAAATACCTTTCACCCCCTTCTCCATCTCATCTGACTTTAAAATTCAAATACACACATACACAGTGGAACCATAAAAAATTTAACACATGCTGATGCCCCTTGCAGATGGACACACTCCTACATGAGGAGTGCATAGGGACTGATTAATAGTGCAGTGGACTTGTAGCTGTGAGCTAGAGCAACAGGTTTCAACTGTATCACAGGGAATTATGGTAATAACAGAGAGGATGGGGGGGGTCCAACGCCAAACGTACATCACCCCCCAGAATGATGACAGACTCGGGAAGCGTGGGGTCCATAACAAATGGCATGCCGTCTTGTGGCAATGATTTTTCTGCTGCACGTCCTACCAGAGGTGAATTACGTGCCAGTAGACTCGTGACAAACTTTATTATAGCTGATAGTAATTACAGTCTGGTTTATGGGCCCCAACATTAGTCAAATGAGAGCAGTCCTTCAAAGGGCTCTTTAACATTTATTACTGTCTCCTGTAGTTTGACCTTGAAATCTGACTTAGAAGAGGATGAAGGGGAAAACCCAGTAACTGTGGCTAGGATCAGTTTCTGGAAAGGAATAACAATTTCTAACTGTGAAATGATCAGGAAACTGTAAAATATAGATCTTTTGGGTGTAATAGCTCCACAAAGGGACAGGTTTCAGTCAGCCTCTCCTTGTTTTTCCTCTTCCTCAGTTTCTCTATTCTCCTTTGCATTTATTCTGTAATGTGTTTTCTAAATAAATCCCATCAAGACAATACATTTATGTAGATTAAATTTCATAACTATACAAGTGCACAATAAAGACTTACATTAACTTACAAGATCTGGTTGTACTGTGTGGTGTGCTTTGCAAATAATCATTACAAAGTGTAGTTAACTGCAATTAGCCAGCCAGCTCTGATTGATTCTTTCAAATTAAGGCCTAATGTGAAAAAAAATGCCTCTGACATTTCATATTATTGATATTTTGCCAGTATGTCACGCTTATCTCTCAACATGGATAATGTAGAGAGATGATTTCTGCGTAGATGCGAGAACTGCTGGTCCCTAAAGTTCACCTCTCTGCTGGTGTGCCATAAACATGTCTCCTGCAACAGGAAGTACATTTTGTAGGAAATGAAAAAGCAACCAAATTAAGTTTGATTGAAAAAAAGTGATTTCTAGTAGACAGGTTTGCATGCTGCTGCCTGTAAGGTGCTCTGGTGGAGCTTAGCCCATCACGCTTCCCCAGCTTTCTACTCTACCAAGCTGACATAACCTGTCACACTTCACATCCTCCTAAAAGTCCCATCACCACCACCAGCTCTCCCACAAATCCCATCTCATGAACATTTATGGCTAGTTTGGAATTACTAGAAGAAGTTATCATGATCAGTCATATCCAACATGGCTATCAGTATGCAGAAACCTCACACATTGGACTTGGAACAAAGTGAGGAATATTGGACTTATTTATTTCAGTGGACTTATTTTATAGGCCCAATCCTTTGATTTCATTTTTACTATGCTGCTATATCATAATCTCATTGTTCTATGTTGTATCTCTACTATAACAGCTTTCTTTTCATTTTGTGTAACTGCCAGAGCAATCCACAGATGTTTACACCTCCAGCCCCGCAAGAAAAATGGTTCTGATTTGAACTGTATGTTTTCCATTTCATTCCTTTTGTTCTCAAGTTTTATTTTTTCCGTTGTCCTCTTGGAACATGTGGGCTGTTGCATGAGGTATTGTATATGATTTTAGGCTCTATAAATAACTGTAATTTGAACTGACATGTAGAGTAAATGCCTGTGCTCACATAGACATATTTATAAACCAATTCTTTTGTATTTATGTGTGGAAAGACTTGCTGTATTGTATAGTCTTCTTTTCCATGTGCAGACGGTTTCCCCGACATAGGATGGGTGCAGATGTACAGAACTCTGAAAACACAGAATGTCTGGAACTCTGAAAGATGAGAAAAATAGAGTTACAAAATTTACCAACCAATTTTAGATTTAGGTTCAAAAAGACTAATTCTGGTTATAATTCATCGCTTTAAAATACCTCAAATATCTACACTGCAAATACCGCTACTGTCTTTTATTTCCCCATACATCTCGATTTGCAAAAAGAGAGAGATATAGTCAACAGATAACATAAGAAAAAACAGCCATCAGATTAAGGCATCTACAATCAGTGCCACATGGACACTGATAGAGATTGATTCCAGCCAGGGGGCTTTGTTACATGTCTCTCTGTCTCTTTCTGCTTTTTTCCTGCATCTTTCTAGACTGTCAACAACAAATAAAGGCCAAAAAAATCCTCTAAAAAATGAGAAGAATACTGTCAAAGTAAAAAAAAACAAAAACAAAAAAAAACTCCAAGCCTGATGATGAAAAACTGAAGAACAAATTCAGACGAGATCAATGCATGTCAATTTTAAAATTAACATTTGTTCAAGTGCTCGTTATATGAACCCCTCCCCTATAGCAGGAAGTGTCTATTAGCAGCTCTAATTAGGCACAGTGTTGAAACGGAGCGTGGATGTTGTAGTCAGAGTGATACTCAGTATGTGATGTTTGGGGAAGTTGGGTGGAAACTTGCCAAAATCAGCTGGCCCTCATCCTAAAAGCCTTTTCTGTTGTCACATACATGATTAGCTGACATACAAACAAGTATGGCAGCTAATCAGACCAATAATGTTATACTTATATTTTTCCTTATGATACTTAATAGGACCAGCTCTACACTGTGGCGCACACACACACACACACACAAGTACACGTATCCACACTAGCATTAACAAACACACAATCTGTTTTTTGAGGCTGGCCAGTGTGCATGTGTAGGCTGCACCGTCTCATCTACACTTCCTGACTTTGATCATGCTGATTTAATTTACATCGGCTCAGACACTTATTTTGTTCCACAGCAGGACGGGTACTGACAGGACGGCTAATGAAAAACGGCTCTGGAACAGCTCATAACATCAGTGTTCAGCTCTCTACTGGACTGCACGCAGCTTAAGTTAGTGACTCAAAATTGACTCCGGTGTTTCAGTATTAGCAAAGCTGTCAGGACAAGTTCAAAGAAGACAACCCAGGTCACTACTTTGTGTTGATTAAATACAGAAAAAGGATAAGTTAGACATCAAACCTCCTGCCTGACTGAGGGGTTGTGCGGACTTGGCATGTTCTCCCCGTGCCTATATGGGTTTTCTTGGTATGTTGACCTCCTCCCACAAAGACATGTTCGTTAGGTCGATTGGCGAGTCTAATTCAAATCCTGTGTTATCCCTCTTCTTAGAAGTTGTCGGTAATGCTCTGTGGGATCAAAATCAAGTCTGTGTTAAAGCACCAAGAGCCATTTCTTTCACTTTAATTAAATGAAGACACTTTTGGACAAAAAGCACTTTGTAAGGAACCTTGACAGACAAAGCAGTGTTAATGTTAGCAGTTCTTGTATAAAGATTATGGACATCAGTGTGTGTGTGTGTCTGTGTGTCTTCGTATTATTTATATAGTTGATATGAGGCTGTTTGAGTTGCTCACAGGTGGTGACAATGATGGATAGAAACTGGCTCAGTCTATAACTACACCTAATGTCATGCAAATTATTCTGAAGACATGAAGGACTGTAGAGATAATATGATGCCTTTCATCTACTTTTTGTGGGCTGCTGTTTACTTTATGCTACATACTATGAATTTTACATGTAGGTAAAACTGTATATTAAGCTGTCATTTTTTTATGGTAAACCAACTGGGGTGAGGTCATGAGAGGACGAATTAACGCAGCCTTTTCTGAGCGGTGACGTTATAATCAGTCACATCTATGCTGCCCATGATGCAGCATGCTGGTTAGCTTGACCTGCTTGTTAGCAAGACTTGGGCAACTGTTCTGAGGACATACTGTATTTCATGAAGAGTTTTCATAGCAAAGGTGTTGCTAACCATTGCTACTGGCTGAGTTGTAGTGAAAGCTAACTCAGAAAATGCACTACAAGGTCTGTTTGATTGTCTGAACGACCTTAAGGCTTGGCCAAAATTGAACTTTCTACATCTACATCAAATAAAATGGAGTATGCTCAGGTTGTATAAAAGGATTTTAATCTTGGTCTTCTAGCTGAATATAACATACCTCATGTGAAAAACCTCAGGGTGTTATTGCATGGTGCACTTAAGTTAGAGAAGCAAAGGAAGCTTTTTCAGATAAGATTTTTAGCAAGGGTGAAGCCTTTTTTATCCTTCAATGATCTTGAGAAAGTAAGACCTGCCTTCATTAGTTCTGGGCTGGATTATTGCGCTCCATGCAGGAGTCAGCAAATCATCTCTTCATCGACTGCAGCTCATCCAGAATGTGACGGCGCGCCTCCTAACTAATGCACTTTTTGGAAATACGGTCTCTTTTTTTTTTACGAGACCATATTTCTCCTACCCAGGCTTCACTCCACTGGTTCCACATCTAATTTAGAATTGATTTTAAACTGCTCCTTTTTGTTTTTAAAGCACTAAATGGATTGGCAGCTTTATATTTAAATGAGCTGCTTCACCCCGATTGTCCAAGCAGGTTACTTAGCTCCTCTAATCAGTTACTGCTGGAGGTGCCAAGATTCATTTAAAAGCTCAAAGGTGATTGTGCTTTTGCAAATGTCAGTCTAAAACTCTGGAATGGCCTTTCCACAAGATATCAGAACTGCCTCCAGTTTGGAATCACTGAAATTTTTTATTGAAATACTTTTTTCACTGCCATTTGAGAGAGCCAGAGCTGAAGGACCCACACTCTTAGAGAGGTCTGGTTTATTTTGTGTAGATTAATTCCATTTGTTTTTATCTGATTCTGATTTGACTACTGAGCAGCTGTTCGTGAATGCAGGTCATGGCATTCAGAAGCATCTACTACCAACTATCTACTTTTTTGCTTGTGTGAGAGATTTAACGGCAGCTTAAGGTTCAGTTATGTTATGGCTAGGGCTACTGGGCTTCCATAGGAATGTGCCCCTATGGCAACTTTTTTAACATTTTACTGTGTATTGTGTTATACCCCAGTTCTTTTATTGGACAGATCTGAGTAAGGAAGGAGTCCGTCTTTCTTCATTTTAGTGCTGATTTATTTAAAAGCCACAAATAAAGTTAAAAGAGACAACCCGGGTGGCTCCCTCCCTCAGACAAGCTGCTGGAGAAGAGAAGTTCCCAGAAACACAGAGCCTAATACATTTATAAGTTTTTGGGCTAACCCCTTGTACAGACAGATATAAAAACATCACGAGTTGGAGACAGTCTGGCGTCTCCTTCTCTTATCTAGAGCTCCACAGGCTTGGAGCAGCTGGTCATAACAAAATGAAGAATTCCATGTGTGTGTGTTGTCACATGGTGTGTAACTAAAACATACATTCAGACATAATTCTAACACAGGATTTAAACCAAGAAAACAATTGGTGTCAAGGTACACTTTTCAGAATCAACATTGTCTTCTAACCTTGAAGCAGAGCACACATGAGCAGACTTTGAATCTTACTAAACTGCATTACTAATAGATCTGATTCAAAACATTGTCTAATAATTATCTGACTGAATTATTAATTTCTAACAATTGATAACTTGCATTTGGTGTGATTTCATACCAAAGATTAACCCAGAAATAGTACAGTCTGCATTTGTTCAACATGCAGCCAGCTGCACTGATACACACAACCACACTAACACATACAGATAAATGCAAACAGACATACACCGAATACACTAAAATTGTCTTAGAATGTTGATTTTGTCTTGTTAAAGAGAAACAAAAACGGCAGAAAACAAAATCTTGTGAGCAAAGGCTGAAAGAGTGAGGGCACGGGGGAATCAAACAACAGAGACAAGCAGCAGAATGAAGACAGAGATGATCTAAAATCACCATGCAGATTACACCGTGCTTTTTGAGGGGCAGGAGGTTTGGGTCATTACTTAGTAAATGCAGAAATTTATAGTCTACTCACTGCATGGAAAATTGTTATGTGAGGATGCAGAGCTGAGGAGATGCACCTTAACCGGCCGTTGAGGATAGAAATGCTACATTTCATTCACTGTACATTTTGACTGCCAAGACCTGGCAGGCCACATAAATAATGTGCATATAGTGCAGTTCAGAACACAAACACTTAAGCAGCCCAACAGACAGGATGCATAATGACTGTGGCATCCAGCTCAGTGTCACTGGATCTTTCAATAAGAAGCCTGCCACATACAGTAGTAAACGTACAGTGTCTGATTTTAAGGGTCTCTAAGAGGGATTTATACTCTCCTGCAATGCAAAATGATTTCAATCTCTCTCCAGGCCCTGCTAGAGTTACCAATCAATGAGAACTGACTCAACATCTACTTTGCACTGTGCCAAGACTTCCAGCTCTCACTGGCAATATCCCAAAATTAGATCAGGTGGAGACAGACTCCAGTGAGGTTGCTGAAATTCCAACAAAAACTAAACTAAACTAAATTATCATGCTTGTTGCATGTTCACAGTACCAACTATTTAAGAACGTTTGTTTTTACTTGAAGAAAAAAATCATTTTTAAATGAAGCCCTCTGTGATTACATCTTTTTTTAGCACCGATGTGAGATCTCCTTGAAACACCAGATAAATCCTCTGCTATGTGGCACCATCATCACAGGTGACACTGAATTTCAATTGAAGTCTGCGTTTCCACGACACAGAATTTAAGAAGCACACCGCCCCCACCGCCCTAGTGCTAATAATGGTCCCTGCCATGACTGAGGACAGTGACAAATTACCTCTTATCAGCCACAAACATTGTCATTATTGCCAGCCTTTATTCCATTTCTTCAAGAATTATACCCAGTTTCCTCTTAGAAATCTTGGAAAACACTTGGTCTAATTCAAGTGTGGTCACTTCCAGACTGAACGTATTGAAAAGATGGATTCAACAATGAGTTGGTGTGAAGAAGATTTTAGCCAGTAAATAAAGTGTGAAGTATTAAGACCACTGTCATCACTACTATTATTACTACTAATCAAAACAACATATAGGCATGCTCTAAAGACTTTATAAAGGCAGGCAGGCAGGCACTTTGACTTCCTAGACAAGTCTGAAGTGACAAACAGTACAAACTACATCAAGCTAAATCTGAAATTTGGCTCAGGCAGACTTTCCCGTCTGCGATGGATTGGCGACCTGTCCAGGGTGTACCCCGCCTTCGCCCGATTGCCAGATGGGATTGGCTCCAGCACCCACCCCCTGTGACCCCGTTCAGGGACTAAGCGGTAGACAATGAATGAAAAAGACTTTCCCATTAAGAAAATGACCACTTATAGCAATTTGAACTAATACCGCCTTAATAAACACATGAAAAATAAATTGTTGCTGGCACACCTGTGCGTCATCATCTAATCAACTCCTGCAGTATTTCAACCCTGTCTTTGCCAGATTGTGCCATGGCAGCAAGTCACGTTCAGACCTTCATTTCAGAGCTATTTCCCAGTGTTATTGCGCTCGTCTTGTTCCAATTGTGATTTCCTGTGTTTAGATTCTCCCTCATGTGCAACAATCTCACCCCGCTCACCAGTCCACCTATCAGCCAAGTCTTCAGTCGCGCTTTTCTCCCGGCGCTCGACTTGCTTGCTCTCTCTCCACTGTCTACTCAAGCTCCTGCCTTTGCCTGCTATACCGTCGACCCGCCTCAGCCCCTGGAGACCACCAGTTTCCCCTACCCCAACCAGCACTCCTCTCCACCCCCGTAATGGTGTTTTTCCATCAGCACAGGTCAGCCCTGTTGAGCCAAAGTGTGCATGACAAGTCAGCACAGTTGTGTTTCCACTGCACCATAAAACGCATTGTTTATCTTCCACATCTTGATCTCACAGGATTGGCGTGAGCCACTGAGGAGCGGCACAGCTCAAAGTGTTGGGTGTAGTGTTACTAGTTTGCAACATGGAGCCCTTGGTCCTGGGCATTATTTCAAACCCTCATCAAAAGACAAAGTGACAGACTCCCCTTTCAAATCTTGCTGCAATGAAATTACAAATAAAAAGTCATTGCTTAATACAAGAACATTCCCTTGGTGAAACATTTCAGCTAATCATGTGTCCCAATGAGCCGGCTCTATTGAAGGCAGCGCTCAGCTCCACACAGCTCTGGGTAGAAGCAGGGTTGAGGCACTACCCCCTGCTGCTAGGAACAGATAGAAACGGAGGCCACCCTGTGCCCACCTGGCTCCTCGTAATTAAAGTGGGCTGACCTGTGCCGATAGAAAAACACCATTAGACTCTTGCTTTTGGGAATAAATCTCTGAAAACCCTTTTTCTCTGAGTCTCTGTTCTGCTTC